TTCTTGCTAGAAAAAGGGGTTATTACTGAAGTAAACAAATTCTCCTGCAAATCACATAAATTGACTTCAATCTAAGAGTACTTAGTTTTCAATTCAACAAGAAAGAATAATAAAGAATTGCTAACTTTTCTTAAACTCGGTTAACTGATTTATAAAGTACCCTCAAAATTCTAAGAAGTTATTTAATAACCACCTCTTACAATTTTTTACAGAGGTTACTGAAGAGGGTACTTTTGTAACTGCTCACGGAAATACACTTCTAATACAAACAGCAACACCTTTGCATATTCATCAAAATTGTTTTCATTTGCATTCCTTTTAGGAAAGAACGTCAGCGTCAGCCACATTTGCAAACACTGATTGTGAAGGTTCATTCCCTTTATCTGTACAATTGCCTGTGGAGAAAAAGAAATGTCACCTTTAAACCTTGCCAGTAGTTATTTCTTTAGACATGCACAATGCCCCTGCACCAACAAAGCAGCTCCTAGATTAACTCATTAGTTAACCTTAGCATGAATGCAATTTCATTATGTTTCCAAAACTAAAGAAAAAACCCAAACAACAGTTCTACAGGAATGTGACCTTCTACATGTAGTTGCTCCAACTCACTATTCCCCCTGCTTTTTGTTTTTGGCTTTTTTTTTTTTTTTTATTAAAATAAAGTTTGCATATTGTGCATACAGCTTTGTGATCCAAGACAATGAACCATGTCCATAGCCGGAGAAAAGTAGTGGTAGCTCTAGTATCACATTGAACGGAAAGTCACTAATTGAAGGCAAAGCTATGTCAATTAAATCCAACTGGCACAATCAAAGTTATTACTGAGCACGTATTTCAGAAGAAAAACAAAGTAGAGAGTAAAAATATAATGAAATATAAAATATAAACTACTTTTCTCAAAGAAATATCCACAGACTGAAGATTTTGAAAGAAAGTATAATATCCAATTCCTTTTGAGAGGATGAATGTCATAGGCCTGAGCTTCACTGGGGTGACTTTCAAATCTATTAGAGAATGGATAGTACATATCTTGTTATATGATAATGAGTTCAGCCACTTAAATGTCCATGTTTCTTCTGCAGCACCCACATACTCCACCTGAGCACGTCACCTCATATAAGCATCTCCCTTGCGTTTGGTATCAGAGACTAGAGCTAGTCAGGAAATACTTCTACTGTCTCTCCAAAAGTCTTTCCAAAGTTTTCCCATTTGATGTTAGAACAAACACTTCAGGCATCTTATGAAAAACTTCAAGAACTATTACCCTCAAGATAGTGTGAAACCTAATGGAAAAGCATTGTCCACTATACTGTTGTTCTCTCCTGTAGACATCCAGTAACTTCAGCTTCAATCTTCTTCCACTCTCCAGGTGCATAGTTTGAATACCAGGTTACTAGTTACTCTGCAATGGTCTCTTCTCCCAAGGCCAAAAATCCTAACTTTTCTAACCTTACATAAATATTTCTGCAGAAGTCTTGACAAATTGGAATTTTCTCATCAAAAAAAATATATTCAGAAAATTCCCCCAGAACTGTGGTTATACAAATTGACTAGCTACTTACAGCTGAGTTGATAAAAAGGAATGTGCCCTGCTCTTGAGAAAAAATTACTACAATTAGTTTTCTATATACATGGCCACAACTGGTAACTACATTATAGTGGTTAGCAGGCATATTAGTCCCTTGGCAAAGTTTTTAGGTAAAGAGACATTTTCTGAAAAGTCAAAAAGCAGGAATCTTTCACTCGTTTGACAAATAAAAGTCAAAAAGTCAAAAGTCTTAAGAGAAGCACCACTGGAGTTTGAGAGATTAACATTTTTTGATGGATAGGGAACTTAGATCTTAGTTCTGCCTTCTGTGAACTCAAGTCGCAATAGTTGACCAAGGTTGATGTTTCAAATAAGCTAACAAAACGAACTTTATAGTCTTGTACAAGGCAAAGATATAGGGAGAAAAAAACATGTATCCAATGAACAAGAAGTAATAGTATGATTTTGCTCCGGCCAAAATAGTAAATTCTACAACCACTGCTTGAGAAATGCAATGAGTAACATTGTATCTATTGTCCAGATCTAAGCATTTAAACAGGGGGTGCTTTCCACCTGTGTAAGAACTGAAAGCTCTGATCATAGCTTTCACTGGATTAGAATTTCCATTAAGCTTTGCCTAAGCACTAAGCATTCTAGGGGTTTTAAATCCTATAGATAACTTATACATTGTGGAAGGTCATTGGCTATTACTTGGCCTAAAACTGAAAACATCACTTGCCACATAAAACTGAAAGAGGAAAAATAAAATATATCCATAATATTCTTGATTCCGTTTGTCTGTGTTAGCAGTAACAAAGATATAATACACAATCTGCTTATCCTTTTAAATGCATTGACACTACTGATTAAATAAGTCCAATACATTTATGGCCTCATCTACAGTCAACTGAAAAGAGAACTTTCTCTCTGAAATCAAATCTTTTATCTCATGCCTATTAATCCCCTTCTCACAAGAAGATAGGTCTGTCCATGGACACCTACAATTCTGAAAGAGGAGAAAGCCATTTGGCCTATTTTATGTATCTTTCTATGATACTGTCTAATTAAAAATTTACCACATTTGCTTAATTCAGCATTCTTTAACGTTCTCCAGAGAGCAGTTTGAAGCAGTTCACTAAGAAGATGATACCCATTAATCAGTCTATTTTGCAAACTCCATCAAAGTGCCAGAGTACTGACTAAAGCATGTAGTAATGCTGCATCATTCTCACTTGTTTGGTGAGCAAAGTTTAAGCAGTAATATTACCTTCTGCTTTTTCAGGCTGAGGAGAAAAATGAAACCTTTAATCTTGTAGATAAAGTCTTACCTGGATAGACAGGATCCTCAAATGTAAACAAACTGTATTTTGAAGATTTACAGAAAGGTGATCTCTTTTTAATTCACTTAACATTTCTCTGATTTTCTCTTGGTGAACTTAACTGATAATGCTCATTTTTACCTAAAGTAATTATTACTATTGATTTCTGGGATTTATTTATAAATACTATTTTCTTTCTTGCTTTTAGTTGAACATCCTAAAACAATCACGCTTCAGTAAATACAAAACAACTCCACTCATTTCACTGATCTAATTTAGGATCTACTCAATCAACACAGGCAAATCAATGCTGAATTTTCTCATTAACACAGGCAGCTGTAAGTCTAAAACTCTTGGGAAACTTTACTAACTCAGTATGTTGAAAAGATGATCTTTTGCCTGATATTTGCCCTTGTCACATCATATATTATGTACATACACATAATAATCAAGATGTAATAAAAGTCTTTTCCAGGCTGGTCTGGGTTGGTCAACCTGTCCCCTTGCTCAGGACCACTACTTCTCGCACTTTATTGCTCCCTCAGCCCGGCTGATTAGGCTATTTGTGTTCACTCCTCAACCTTTTGCAATCTCAATAAGTCAAGTTAGCAAAGGACTACCACTTAATATTTTTTTTTGTCTCTTCAGAGAGCAGAGCTGTACTCAAAGAGAAAAATATCCACCGCAAAGCACAATAAAATTTTGAGAAAGACCAAACCTACTTTTCCCTCAGTCTCTGAGCCCTCCATGTTTCCTTCCAGGTGAAAACTAAGTTACATGAATAAAAAGCGGTGCATGAATAAACAAGTAAAAGACTTACTGGAATTACTGTTGCCATATATAAATAAAACAATAACATCATCATGTGACTATGTGAGCAATTAGTTAAAAAAGACATTTTGAAACAAAATGTAACAGCGAAATCTTCTAGTACCCATTCTTACATAACCAACAAAACAAAATTACATTAAAGGACTGTAGTGCACCTTATTTAGAAATTTGATTTTCTTATGCCAAATTTTTGGTCGGAGTCATGATTTTGGAACATTTTGGTTTTGTTCTGGAGGAAAGGATCGTTTTTACTTACATGTCCAGTAGCCACTTCTTCAGGTGACCCTTAAACCCCCCTTTCTTTCATTAATGTTAGGCAGTAAGAAAAATCAGTGCTAAAACTTTTGAGAGGACAGCAGAAATAGCTTTCTCAAAGCAGATTTTTTCCTTCAGCATGAAGATGCCACATTTAGTTTGATGGTACGTTGACTGTGAGCAAAAGAAGTTTCCATGGTAGCTGTGCAAGGTACACCAAAACCTGCATGTGCTTCAGACTAGTAATACATGTAGAGGGAATTCTGAAATTCATTTTGCAACCTACAAACTGCTACTCTCATGTGTACACGCGGACTCATTTTGCAGTTGCAACAACAGTACTATTCTAGGAATAACTTCTTTCCTACTTTCTTTGAGCCTAACGTAAGTGTCAGAATGGCATGGACACATGGACAAATATGCTCCAATAACAGCTATTTTTTCTCTCTCTTTTTTTATTTTCTTCCAGAATAGAACAGCTTTCATATGTGAATATCCAAAGTAAAAGCAACACTGCTTTTGTCCATAATAACAACAACAACTGCAGACAAGATACTCTTGAACTACATGAATATAGAGGGAAAAAAAATTTGCAAACAAATTTGAAATATACACTTCTGAGTGATAGTATTATGAAGGGCAGCCATGGAAAAAAAGTTATATTGAATGCATGAAAAATATCACAATATTTAGATGGACTTGAAAGGACTACAGAAAAAACAAATGAGATATCTATATGTCAGATTTTAGAGACTAATGCTTCCTCTCTTAAAAACTCCTCGGAAATTTAAACTTGAAAAATTTGGAAAATTGTCAAAAGAAAAATAGATGCTGCTTCTCTACATTGTCTCTACTCACTGTAAGTCTAAAAGGTGAGAAGGTATTACAAAACTTTATGAAGTTTCTCCTTTAAAATATGCATGAGAGCATCTATTTCCCTAGTCAAATTCTCATCTTCCAAAAAACTAAGAAGTTTAGGATAAGCATAGACCTTCCGTTGTTAAACACTGTAAGTGTAATTGAAGTATCACTGGCTTATTACTGTTTCAGTTTAGGTACAAACTTACCTAAAAATGGATTACTGTATTCTGTATCAGACAGTTTGAGCAAGTTGTTTTCCAAAGTCTCCATCGCTTTAGCTGAAATAAACACAATATTCCTATTAGCATACAGATGTATTTTGTAAATAAAAGATACACTTTTTATAGCTGTCAGTGACTCAAAACAAAAACTTTAGGCTGAGGTCCTGAAGAGTATTTCTGTTGGTGGAAAGAAGAGCATGATCACATCAGCAAAGACTGTGACTCTCCTCCTGAGAGAAGCTCAACTCAGTGAAATAACTTACAACAGTAATAAAAACAAAGTAAGACTTCTCAAAATTTAGTAGCACAAGCCAGTCAATTTAATATAGCTTAGAAATGTTCACACAGAGTCAACAACAGTGTGTGACAATAGCTGGAAATAGGGGACACACACAGTGACTGGGATCTCCAACTAGACCAGGCTCTGTGTTAATGCATGATTCCGCTGCTAAAAATATAAATCCTAAAAACAGAAGTAGTTCCTTTGCCCAATATGAGCTAAAATTCACAAATATTTTCTCTCATTCTCCCCACACCGCTCT